CGAATTTCGTAGCAGCGTTGACTACGAAACCCACAACAAGATTGTCCCAAAGCCCAGAAAAGCCAAATTAGAGGTTTAGAGTTTGAACACCAAATTAATGAACCAACAAACCCAATAAGATCGTTGCTTGAAAGACCCATTGATTACACAATTCAAGACTTGCATCCGAGTTGTAGACGTCACAAGAATTACAATCCTTGATAAGTTCCAGTTGTCAATGGATAATGGAGAAGAAAGCACAATAGTCTCTCTATTAAAATTCTCTCAAATTAATGTATAAAGTGTCGAAGGTTACAATGAAAGAAAATAATCTATATTTACACTAGACTCAAAACCCCTAGAAAATCTAGTGAAAATTGTGCAAAACTCGTCCAAGATTACATTGATATGGAAAAGAAATAAAATGTTGCAAAATATGGAAAAAAATCGGAAAAGGAAATTTTTTGACCTCGATTCATTGGAACTAGCCCCGATAATTCCCTGCCTCTATGTATGCGGTCGTGACCCCTATTGCACTATGCGACCGCATAGTAGTCCGATTGGCCTCCAACTTCGTCTGTTTGTATTGAATTGATCCATTTTGTTTCGGCTCTCGGCCCGAACATGAAAGTTGTCTCGTTTTGCGTCCCGAACATCATCTCATGAATAGTTGACTGAACTAATAATCCCATCGCTTGTTTCATCCGCTTTGATCTTGATCGCGTCATCGGTCCGTCTTGGATTATCTACGTGTCTCGTTCCGCACTTGCCTTCGTCGGGCTTGACTCCTAGATCACAATATATATATATAAATATATAAATATATATATATATATATATATATATATACACACACACACACACACATAGACATTTTTAATTATTTTTTTTATTTTTTTTTCTCTCTACTATGATGCATAAAAAGGAGGCTTGCCCTAATACCTTTTATGCAGACCTAATACATGTGCAAATTTTCCAAAGTACGCCAATTACACTTAAAAAATTTGCGGCCAATGATTATACAATAGTCTCCATACATCCAACAGACATTGACACATGCCCCACATTTGTGTGCCATTTAAATTATCTGCCTTATTTGTTTGTTTGGGGCATCAGAAAAATTTACATACGACCGTTTAACTTGGGTAATATTGCATTGATATTTAAGAACTCTTTGGTGAATGTTGAGCTATAATTTACTTTGTAGAAGAGGGTGAAAAGCTAGAAAAGCTTGTTATGATCATAGAATTGAAAGTTTTCCTAGATTAGAAATGTGACAATGATTTGTTGTCCATTAATTGCCACATGTACTCCTTTTCTTTTTCGGTTATTCATACCTTTTCAAGGTTAAAATTATTTGTTTGCTTTGGAATTTACCTGAGTCATCATCTGTTTCCTTATTGTGGCGGTTTTGTCGCCTGCAGATTGCAAGCATCTTTGTCCCTGTGGTTGTGACACTGGCATTGTTGACATTACTAGGATGGTATGCTTGCTTGGGGCAAACTAATCTGTAGAGAATTTTTTAGTGGTTAATAATTGATATTAATTCTTGTCGAGGTTGCATTTCTGTGACTTGCTTTTCCATAAATTCACAGGTATGTTGCTGGATTTCTCAGATCCTACCCCAAAGAGTGGTTGCCAGAAAATAGCAACTATTTTATTTTTTCCCTCATGTTTGCTATATCAGTCGTGGTAATTGCTTGCCCATGTGCACTTGGACTGGCCACCCCTACTGCTGTCATGGTTGCAACAGGGATTGGAGCTAACAACGGTGTACTCATCAAAGGAGGAGATGCCTTAGAGAGGGCACAAAAGGTCAATTACGTGGTATTTGATAAGACAGGCACCTTAACCCAGGGAAAAGCCTCAGTTACAACAGCAAAAGTTTTCTCAGGAAAGGATCGCAGTGAATTTCTTAAATTAGTGGCTTCAGCTGAGGTAACTAACATCCTCTTTGTTGATAGAGAAGCATTGCCCTGATCACAAATGGAAATTCTTGATTTAATTACAAGAGAACTCTATGAATATTTTTATGCCACTCTGTTCCTCTTTCTCCAGTCACGAGGAGAAAAAGCCTGCAGGGAGAAAGAAAAACATTTACAGTTTCAAATTTCACTGATACCTTTCCTGGGAATGGAGTCTCTTCTGCCCATGGGTAGCAGAATTATGTAATTCCCAACAGTGATTGAAAACTGAATATTATTGTTGGTAGTTTTAATTGATGATTGTCATTTAAAAGAAAAAAGCTTGTACACCGATAAGTGTTCTTTATATAAATAAACCACTCTAGGTGGCATGTTTTATTATTGACAAAAATAAGGCAATGCAAGAAAATATAAACTTACGCCATCTAGAGACAGTGTCACAGAGAGTACAGTGATAAGCTGAAGTACTACACTTCATGTGTCCTCGTCACACGTCACCGTAAGCTGAATACAGAGTCTATTCAGCTCTTGGTCAATTTCGGACCCACTGCTTGAAGGAGATCGTGTTAATTTATTACTGCAAATTTATACGCTGATACGCTTCTTTTTTTCTTTTTTCCCAGGCCTGCAGTGAGCATCCTTTGGCAAAGGCAATACTCGAATATGCCTGTCATTTCCATTTTTTTGATGAAGCTTCCACTATGAAGGAGGTCCAAAATCATGTCCTGGAGTCTAAGTTCTCTGGGTGGCTTCTCGGTGTCTCGGATTTTTCAGCCTTGCCTGGAAGAGGCATTAAGTGCTTTATTGATGGAAAGCATGTTTTGGTGAGTTTCTTAACACAAATGTGCATGTTGTGATTGCAGAATGGAAGAAGTTTTGTTGTTTCCTATATTTGATGACAAGGAATTTGTTTCTGTACTTGTTTATCCTCATCAAGGTTTGAATGCACTGAACAGGTTGGTAACCGGAAGCTGATGACTGAGAATCAGGTGACTATTTCGAGTGATGTGGAAAATTTTATTGTAGGGTTGGAGGAAAGTGCCGAGACTGGAATACTTGTGGCATATGATAATGAACTAATTGGTGTTCTTGGGGTAGCAGATCCGCTAAAGAGAGAAGCTGCTGTTGTTATAGAGGGCCTCGTGAAAATGGGTGTTAATCCTGTCATGGTTACTGGGGATAATTGGAGAACAGCTCTGGCTGTTGCCAAGGAGGTTTTATCTTGTTCCTTTTTCTTTCATATATTTGGTTTTTTCTGTTACTGAGTTTGGGGAGGAGTTTTAACTCTTTTTCCTAGAGCTATCGTCTACAACTGAGCTCACTTTTGCCTGTGTGTAATTTTTTCATTTATCTATCAATGTGTCCCAATTTTGCAGAATCTGAAGTATTTGAGAAATTAATATAATCTCTTTTTTAATTGATATATTAAATATCATTTACAATTGATTATATAAATTGCATAGGAGAAATAAATAAAAAAAGAAATAACTAATTGATAATTACCAGAAAAGTAATCTCCTAAAATATCTTCCAAGATATTCACTTATTAAAGCTAACTTAAAATCCTACAGCGCTTATTCATGTTGATTTAATAGACTTTTCCAATAGAATCACATCCTTTTTTGCTGTGCAGGTTGGCATTAGAGATGTTAGGGCAGAGGTGATGCCTGTTGGAAAAGCAGACGTTATTCGTTCATACCAGAAAGGCAGAAATGTAGTTGCAATGGTGGGTGACGGCATTAACGATTCTCCTGCCTTGGCTGCTGCTGACGTTGGTATGGCAATCGGGGCAGGGACAGATATTGCAATAGAAGCTGCCGACTATGTGCTGATGAGGAATAATTTAGAAGACGTCATCACAGCTATTGATCTTTCAAGAAAGACTTTCGCCAGGATTAGGTTGAATTATGTATTTGCCATGGCTTACAATGTGATAGCTATCCCAGTTGCTGCTGGGGTTTTATTTCCTTGGCTAAAAGTGAAGTTGCCACCATGGGTATCAGGTGCATGCATGGCGTTGTCATCCGTGAGTGTCGTATGCTCTTCTTTGCTTCTTAGGAGATATAAAAAACCCAGGCTTACAACTATTCTGGAAATCACCGTAGACTAGTAATTCCAATTTAAAGGGGAGAAAATTGAAACATATGTTACCTTAGAAAGCCAACCGGAAATTAATGATAGTTTACAATGCCCAATTTTGTGTATAATTTCACATTCTTTTCCTTTCACTTTCCTCTTCTTCCGTTATAAACTCGCTCGTGTAATCCAATTTACATATTGTCTTTTATGTTATAATGTTATGTAGCACTACTGTGCCTAGTACCATGCAGTGGATCCCAGTGACTACATGAAGTTGGGATGCTTTTGATTTTAGTGAACAATATAGCTATGGGTCGACTACCATCGAGATAGGTGTTATATAGCATTATTCTTCTCGTTAATCCCTGTTTGTCAACCAATATTTGGATAAAATGGAGTTTTGAATGGTGAGTTTTTGGAGAATGTGTGGTTGAAAAGTGGAAAAAAATTTGGGTTTACGTGCAGAATATTTTATCGTGTGAATATGTAGAATTTTTTCTTTTTGAAATAATGGTTGTCAAACAGGGGCTAAATAAGATCAGGTGCACATGGAACTAGGCCAAAATCCATTAAACAAGTGCTGAATGAACACGAGCAAAGCACTTGTCACTGAGCATGCCTTAACGCAAACTACCATTGCAATCGAACTTAAAACACTGATTCTGGGAATTGAGAGGAATTAGTTAATAGAACAGGTATACCATAGACTTTTGATGGAAAGCTAATATTCAAGACTTGCCGCATATCTTAGAGGTTGGAGGCCAATATTGGAAATAAATATTGTCAACTTGTGAAAAGTACCGAAACGTATGAAAATAGGGGATAGAGATTCCTAGAGTTTGTTCAATTACTTGAGTTTCATAAACGCTTCCTATCACTTAGGTAGGTTAATTAGTTAATCTTAAATTGTTAACATAATGCTAACGAGGAACTAGATATATTCATAGTTGAGTTTGATCCGGTGGAATAAGTCATATTATATTGAAAGAGGCATGGTAGAAGTTTGGAGAATCAATGAAGAGTGGTGCAAAATCAACTCAAGACAAGTAAGATATCAAAATCTTTATTCAGAGTGTCATGAAGTATCGCTACAAAAGTTGGTCTAGCGCTATAAGCAAGCACTTATTAGGAAATCAATTTTCTTACCCTTTTATTTACTATGGTTTTAGTAATTACATATCATGTAATGAGTTAGGATTGCATTTACAGTTTGCGATCTCTCAATATTTTAAGATACCATTCCTATCATAACAATCATTGCCAAATTTTCCTCATTCCACACTTTCAATTGATATAAAATTAGCTTTAACTCCTGTATGATAATTTTGGTAATTGCTTTTCTTTGTGATCTAAAACTTACTGTGTCTGTCTTACTGTGAACAAACTTTTGTGAAATAACTGACCATTATTTTGTACAACCCTAAAATTTGGTTGTATAAATTCCTGACGTCTTATATGACCTATATACATATTTTTTGCTCAAATTTTAAAGCACGACTTCTGTAAAAATTTGAATTGGATATTTTTAATGGCGAAGGGGACTCCAGCCTCTGGTGCCTGAAAATAAGGGCAATTGTACTTTAACAAAAATGTGCAAAGGCCATTGATGAGTCATGGCCAACTGATCTTGAAGAAAGTAAGAAAATTTAACTTGATGAAATTGCATGTAGTTCTCTCTTTCTGCATTTATCTGATAGTGTGCTTAGAAAAATTGGTGAAACCAAAACAGCTATTGAATTGTGGAAAAATATTAGAAGATACCTATTTGAATAAAACTACATCAAATAAAGTGTATCATCTGAAACAATTCTTTCGTTTTAAATTGGACCTAATACGAACCACGTAGCAATTGAAACTATGGAATTCACGATAGATTACATCAAACTCAAGAATCAACGTTTGGAAAATGTTCGACCCGATAAATTATTAAACCAAAGAAACAAAGACAATCGCAAAAAATATCTTGACCCCGTGATCACAAAACTTACAAACCTTATTTGAATAGTTGAATGCCACAAGAAATTAATCATTGATAAATTCGAAAATTAATTCAATGAAGAATGAGTTGAAAGCAAATATGCTTCTCAATAATCTCTCTCAAATTTTGTGTTTTACAATGAAAAGAACTAGTCTCATTTATAGGTAACTCATGAAAACCCTAATTAAAACGGAATTAAAGTCTAAAAATACCGGAAGATACCATAAAATAGAGTATTAATTAAAATAGGAAATTACGCAAAGTTTGGAAAATTCGCGTCCCAAATTTGTACTATTAGGCAGCTTGTAGAGGTTGCGATCGCATAGGCCAGCCTTTAACCTACAGTATGTTCTCAGTATATATCTATGTGGCTGCATGCATAGATACACTATGCTGTCGCACAAGGTTAAGTCTCAGCTCCTTCCTCCCCTGCTTGAATCAAGTTGATTCATTATGTTTCTTCTTTCATATCCAGCACGAAATTTATCCTTTTGCTTGTTGTGATTGATGTTTCATTCACTATAGCTTGAACAAGTAATCACATGGCTTCTTTAACCTTCTTTGCTCGTGACCTAGTCATTGGTCCTTTCTCCGTAATCAACGAATCATTGTCATTGCTAGCTTTCGTATCATGAATCTCATTATTTCCTCACTCTTCAAAAGGATTCATGCTCGAACATCCACCGCATCAAACAAGGAAAGATAAAAAAACATCGAAAGTAGTATAAATGTTATACTCGCCTGGAAGATCCAATTTATAGGCGTTGTCATTGATATTTTCAATCACTTGAAACGGTCCATCTCCTCTTGGTTACAATTTTGACTTCCTTTGAGTCGGAATGCGTTCTTTTCTCATATGCACCCAAACCCAATTTTCTTGTTCAAATATAATGCGCCTTTACCCTTTATTTTTCTTGAGAAGCATAATGCTCATTTTTTCTTCTTAATCTGGCATCGTAACTTCTCATTAAGATATCTTACCTAGCCACCTTTCTCATCAACAAATAAATGAATTAACTCCAAAAGTGTTAGTGGATTAAAACTATAAACAATTTCAAATGGAGTATAAGAAGTAGTAGAATGCGTGGCCATATTATATGCAAATTCTATGAATGATAAGCATTCCTCCCAACTCTTCAAGTTCTTATTGATTATAGTGCGTAATAATTGTATCATTGTCCTATTAACAACCTCAATTTGTCCATCCATTTGTGGATAACAAGTAGTAGAGAATAATAGCTTAGTCCTTAATTTACTCCATAAAATTTCCAAAAATAGCTAAGGAACTTAACATCTTGATCCAATACAATATTCATAGGTAGCCCATGTAAATGCACTACTTTCTTAAAGAATAATTCAGCAACATTAGTGGCATCATTAGTTTTATGACATGAAATGAAATGTACTATATTACTAAACCTATCTACTACTACAAAAATGGAATCTTTTCCTTTCTTAATCCTAGTAAAAGTCCATAGTATATCAAACCAAGGCTTACTAGGGACGAGTAATGGAGTATATAAGCTTTGAGGTAAGATCGTAGACTTAGCCTTTTTACAAATGATGCATCTACTACAAATTTGATCAACGTCAACCTTTATCTTAGGCCAATAAAAGTGTTCATTTAACATATACAAGGTCTTCTTAACTCTAAAGAGACCTATTAAACCTCCACTATGTGCTTTAGGTACTAGCAACTCTCTCATTGAACACCTAGATATACATAACTTAATTCTCTTGAAATAAATATCCATCATGCGTAAAGAACCTATGTATGACACTTTTGTCACATGATTCGCATATATTAGAAAAGTACAAGTCATTAGTATACATGTCCTTAACATATTCAGTTCCTAGCAATTTGACACTTAAAGAAATTAATAGTACATATCTTCTGGACAATGCATCAGCTACCGCATTTTCTTTACATTGTTTTTACTGAATAACATGAGGAAATGTCTTAATGAACTTCATCCACCTTGCATACCTCTTGTTTATTTTTTCTTGTCCCTTTAAATTCTTTAAAGACTCATGATTTGTGTGAATCACGAACTCCTTTAGCCATAAATAATGCTGTCATGTCTCTAAAGCTCGAACAAGTGCATATAACTCCTTGTCACGTGTAGGATAATTGAGAGCTGCTCTACTTAACTTTTCACTGAAGTAAGCTATGAGCCTTCGTTCCTGCATCAAGACAGCTCAAATACCTATTCTTGAGACATCACATTGAATCTCAAAAGTATTGTTAAAGTTAGGTAGTGATAAAACCAGTGCAGTTCAACCTATCCTTTTTAGTATTAAAAGTATGTTTTCGTTCAATGCTCTAATAAAATCCTACACTTTTCTTTACAATCTCCGTGAGAGGTGTGTCAATTGTGTTAAAAATTTTAATAGAATGCCTATAGAAGCTAGCTGAACCATGAAAGCTTCTTACCTCAATTATGCTTTTAGATGTCAGCTATTCCTTAATAGCTTTGATTTTCTCCTCATCCACTTCAATTCCCTTCTCACTAATAACATAACTAAGAAAAACAACGTTTTCCATACAAATCTACACTTTTTAAAGTTAGTACAAAGTTGCTCTTGTCTTAAGACCACAAGCATCTATATGCTCATTTAAATTCTTACTATATACCAAGATGTCATCGAAGTAAACTACTACGAATTTACTTATAAATGCACGTAAGACATGATTCATTAATCTCATAAACGTGCTAGGTGCATTAGTAAATTCAAATGACGTGAATAGCCACTCTTATAAATTGTGATTAGTTTTAAAGACAATTTTCCACTCATCATCCTCTCTAATCCTAATTTGACAATATCCACTTTTAAGATCTATTTTATTAAACAAGCACAATCCATGTAATTTATCTAACATATCATCCAATTTAAGTATGGGATAATGATATTTTACCGTTGTATTATTGGTCACCCGACAATCTACGTACATCCTCCAAGTTTCATCTTTCTTTGGCGCAAGTAACACTGGTACGATACATGGACTCATGCTCCCCTCCACGTACCCTTTCTTCATCAATTCTTCCACTTGCCTATAAAGTTCCTTGATCTCCTCGGGATTACTTTGATAGGCTAGTTTGTTTAGATTAACAGCTCTAGGTACGAAGTCAATTTGATACTCAATGTCTTGAATGTACGGTAACCCACTAGGCCCTCCGAAAACAAGTCTTTGAATTCCTGCAACAAAGATATAGCCAAACTAGGGAGTGTTTTTTAGATTTCTTAAAGTTGAGGAGTGATTCCTTAC